TCCCATCCCAGGCACTGCCCCCTCACACCTGGCTCCCCCCTCCCATCCCAGGCACTGCCCCCTCACACCTGGCTCCCCCCTCCCATCCCAGGCACTGCCCCCTCACACCTGGCTCCCCTGATCTCACACCTAGCTGCCCCACTTCCCAGTGCTACTGCCTGGATTCTGGCCCATGAGCACTCCTGACACTTACCTCCAACACAGCACAAACCCGGCCTCCAGCCAGCACTTGCAGCAACTGTGTGAGGTGAGCAAAGCACTCGGGGGTTGCCTGCATCTGCCCCTGAAGCAAAGAGCCACATGTGGTAGGGGCCTGGGATCTAGACCCTAGAGCCTCCCAGCCAGCGGCTCTTACCTCAGGGTCCCCAATGGCTGAGTCGAATCCTGCTGAGACCAGCACCAACTCTGGGTTAAACTACAGGCAGAGCCCAGTAGGAGGGTCAAGAAAGAGCCTGAGTTCCAGACACTGCCACCCCCCACCCCTGAGAAACCCTCCCCAGCCCCGAGAGGTCCATTCGTGCATGAGAGGAACGTCTCCCAGTGGTCTTCCGGCCTTGCACAGGCCCCCATCCTGGGGCACACCAAATGCAGCCACCTCAAAGGCCAGCGGGAGCAGTACGTGCAGGAAGGCAGCCAGGTAGTCAGCATTTCCCATCCCCACCTGTGCCAGGGCAGAGAGGGCATCAGTGGGCCCAACTTCCCAAGAGGTCTTCAAAGTCTACATCCCTGGGACCCACATTCTGGGGGAAGCCGCTAGTGGGCATCCCAGGAAAGAGGCTCAGAGCTGGGGGCAGGGGTGCAGGGGAAGACGTGGACTGGATAGAAAGCAGGGGCTGAGTACCTGGTTCCAGGGCAGGTTGACTGTGAAGCCTCGGCCCTGTCCCTGCCCAACTGCATCTGCATCTGACTCTCGCAGGAAGGGCCAAAAGCGCCCGTATTCATAGCGGTGCCAAGAGAAATAAAGGACGCTAAGATAACCAAGCAAGTCAGAAATCAGGCCTTCTGCAGTCCCACAGTTTTTCACAGAACTCTGACATCTGAGCACATGGCTCTTTCTCCTCATTTGGAATTTCTTAGGCTGGTCTGGATACCCCAAAAGTGGTAAGTGTTGGGAAGAGTCTGGATACCCCACAAGCGGTAAGTGCTGGGAAGGGCCATGTCTGTGCCTCAAGCTCACCTGGGGTCATCTTCAAAGATATACTGGATGCCCTGGCCATGGTGGACATCCCAGTCGACAATGAGGATCCTGGGATCAGACAGGGCTGAGGATCACTGAGAGGAAGGGCCTTCCCACTCTAGCCAAGGACAGGAAGGGCTAGGGGTGACCTCTCAGCCACCAGCTCCTCCACCACCCCTGCAGCCCGTACCTGTGCAGCCCATGTTTCTGCTTGGCATGTTTGGCCGCTATTGCCACATTGTTAAACACGCAGAACCCATTGGCAGCTGCCCTGTGGCTGTGGTGTCCCGGAGGCCTGAATGCAGAGCCGGGGATACAGGACGCGTCGGAGGGCACAGGGACACTATGGGGAGGCCGGCGGCTGTGGAGTGACAGCTCTCACCTCACCAGGGCAAGCCCATTGGGCGCAGCTCCGGTCAGCACAGCATCCACCAGCTGCAGTGCGGCCCCCACCGCCAGGCGGGCACAGTGGAAGGTGCTCTGTGGGGGGGGGGGTGAAGTCAGCCCACACCTGCCCAGCCTGTGCCAGGCTGCAGGGCACACGTGTTGAGCGGAAAGTGAGGCTCAGGTGTTGGCAGTGACAGCAAGCACACCGAGCAGGCCATCGCAGGGCGCCGGCACGCTCAGCCACAGCACAGGTGGGCTGCAGCCATGGTGTGCACACAGGGCGGGAGGCTGAGTGTGCACTCACCGGGTGAAAATAGACGGCATCATACTGTTCAGACAGTGCCCGGAGTTCATCCTCGTCCAGGGTCTGGGTCTCCCGCACCAGGGCCACATATTCGGGGCTGCAGGTCAGCGAGCAGGCAGGCCCCGAGCCGAAGAGGAGGAGACGGGGAGAGTATCCATCCTCGTCCCGATCCCCCGACCCCACCCCACCGTGCTCTGAGCCCCCACCACCCCGTGTGACCCCGAGGAGGCAAGGACAGACCTGTGCACCAGGCCCAGCTCGGCCTCGGACGCCTCGCACGCTGACAGGCGCAGGCAGCGCTGCTCCAGGCCCCGCAGCCGCAGGAGGCTCAGGACGGCGGCCAGGCGCTCCGGGCGCTCGAGCTCACACTCCGGGCTGCGGCCGACATGGGTCTCACCGTCGGCGTCCCCCCCGGGACCCCCCGCGGCCGACCCCCAGGAGCACCCCCGCCAGGCCTCCCCCCCCCGGCCTCCCGCCCGGGCCCCCTACAGCCGGCCCCCGAGGACTCCCCCAGGGCCCCCTCCCGGGCCCCCTACAGCCGGCCCCCGAGGACCCCCCAGGGGCCCCACCGGTCCCCCTACAGCCGGCCCCCGAGGACCCCCAGGGCCCCCCTCGCCCCCTCTCGGCCGGGCCGCCCTTACTCGTCCCAGAGCAGCCGGGCCGCGGTCATGTCCTCGTGGTACACGAGCGCGGTGGCCATGGCCGCGTCCACTTTGGGTCAGTGGCAGAGCGCAGCCTCCGCTGTGCGCCCCAGAGCCCGGCGCCGAGCCCAGGCGGGACGCGAGGGCTCCGCAGAAGCCACCGGCGAGCAGCAAATCCCGGGGCAGGCGGGGCTCGAGCCTGACTTCCGGCTTCTCCGACGTGAGCGGGGCCCCGCCTTCCCGCCCCGCCTCCGCCCCGCCCTGC